CAAACCAGAGCACACATATTCCGCTACGATTTTGTGTGGACACAATAAATGGAATTGCTTCATATTCTGAAATGGAAAATTAATTTGGATGGTCTGGGTGGTTACAAAATTCAATGACCATACTTCAATCAAAAAGTAACGTAGAAATTTACCGGGACATCGTAGGAATGTTACGCACGGTTTTGAGTACATACGCTTTTGTTACATTTCTGGTAAAAATAGGCTGGAAAGATTACACAGAATTATTGGCATGAATTGTTGTTCCATTTTTAGAACGTATCGAACATGGTAAATTGTCAAAAATACAAGCAGAAATCCCACAGAAAAAAAATTATTAGAGTTTTCAATTTTTCCAATACAAACTCGATTCAAAATCTTTGAGCAAGCCTGGAGAAGATGGTTTATTGTTATCAGTGAACTGTGAATCTTACAAAATACGGTAGAGAACAAACAGGAGGCAAATAGAAATTTCTTTTATAATTTTAATGAATTGAAAATAATATAGTACACATATTTCTAAACTTTTTAAATCTTTCTGTTGCTTTCGATTTTAATTATTCATTTTTATCATGAGTGCACATTCGAAATTTACAGTCAAAACTTTTCTAAATTATTTAAAAACCATAGATAATTATGGTAAACTTATAATCATGCAATATTGCTGCGCAATAGATTTTTATAAATATGTTTGCGATGTAGGAAGATTTATTACATAAAGAATAGTTACAAAAGTACGAATACAATTAGATATGCTTCATTTTCTTGTCATTCTGCATAGAAAAAGTTAATAGTAAGTTATTGCAAAAACTCAGACTGTCACGATTGATCTAAATTTTTAATAATAATGAAAAATACTTATGAACACATTTAGCATTACTGAGACGAGATTCGAGATATTTACAACATTTTGAGAGATCGTTACATTTTTTTTTACATAGCTAATGATGCAAGCATTAGGTGATTTATGAATGGGAGAGGTCAGCATTGATTAATCGTAACATTGGCACGATTTCTATGAAATATACGCTCATTTTCACCTTCGATTGTGGGTAACGATTCAATATTCAGTGAAATGGAAATAGATCAACGGAAAGATACATACTATATCCCATTTATAATATATACAGCATAAGCGTAAGAAGGATACTAATTTGCATGTTTATGAAGGTTGTCGGGTTATTTTTAATTTTATTCCGACACGGTCTATTAGTCCATAAAAATCGGATTTTTCAGGCTTATTCAAATTCAACAAGTAAAAATGCGGATGACATTGAATCTCGGTACATAGACACGACACATATCGTTGTAACATAATACTTTCACATAAAGTTTACACGTCGACAAGAGTCTATGGATCACAGAGAATATTACTGGTTTCCATAGACAAAGAAAAAATGTTGGGGGAAAGTGATTGCTGTTCTCGTTGATCAAGGAAATCAAGTGTCCTTGATACCTGTGGCCTTATAGTCAAATGATAATGATCAAGAATCTTTAATTGTTAATCGTATACTCGCAACCATAATCGTTTGGTAAAGGACTAATTTAGGACAGAGTGTTAAGCAGTTATTAATTATTAATATCGTTCGGATCTATAAATTATCCTATCGTCTTTTCTGTACGTGGAAAACAAATATCCAAATGTAACGTTTGAATTTAATATAATTTTTCATAATTTTATCAATGAAATAATAATTAAATAGATAATTTATATTCTTGTATTAACATTTTTTTCAATTAATTTATTTTATTGGCGCGATATCTAAATTTAATGAACATTAAAAATTGTTATCAACGATGATTGTAGTAAAACAGATATATTTTTTTGAATTACTAGGATAATTTACCTTGGTCATACCAACCGCAATTTTCCTGGAATAGCTTGGTCTCGCATAAAATTGAATCTTACGCTAACTAAACAGGTAACATTCGGAGAAATAATTTGGTGACGGAGGTCGAACTAGTCGCCTTCATTCAAGGCAAAGTTTTTCCTTTTACTTTCGCCATTTGCGTAATCCATTATTTGAGACTCGCATACCACTGGCTTTCCCAAACTACGACTGCATTTTTTTCAACGATTGCTGCATCTGACAGCTTTATTCTATTTATTATTTTATTTTATATCCGATGGAAGCTACGTGGATTCGAGAAATTTTTCAAGCTTGTGTCAGGGAATGAAATTACCACGTGATTGATTCTTCCATATTTTATTGCGTTTTCTTCGAAGTAATTTAGAAGAAGATGCTGTACCCTGAATTAATCAACTTGTTTAATAGACTTTCATCAATTAAATATATTTTACGTAGAATATTTTTGTAAAAATGTTCTCGTTGAATTGGAAACTGAATGCTTTGTTCCGAAGAAAATATGGAAATGAATTATGACGCTGTTTGCCAGCTGTTTGGATTTTTAATTATAACAAAAGCTGTTGAAATATAGAATCTGGTAAGCGGAGTACGATAGTTTTCGAAGAAGCCGTCTCTGGAAATAAAAACGCATTTATATAAAAAATATATAGCAAAAACTGCAGAACCTTGGAGACACTAGAAAAATTTAAGAAGACTCTGTGAGACTATTTTCTGACTTTCTGATCTCAGTATTTGAGGTTTAATTTATCGAGACGATTTCTCGAATATCAGTGTTCGACGTTATTATAGTTAATTCTTCGCAAAGCGTCTGTTTCAGTTTCGCTGAAAGGATCAGCGTGCATCATCTAATGAAACGGACCAATCGAAACATTAGCCCCACAAGGGGCGGCGAGAATTTAATTACTTAATGAAGCTCGCGGGACGATTAATCACCGGATGCCATGCAGCCACCTCGGTGCTTTGCCGGTTTTCCTTTCGCTATAACTCGGTCACGCGTTCGCAATACAACCATGCTATTTAGGATTCAGAACAATTGCTGCTGGTCGTCGACGAACAAACTCCTATAAGAACGGTCGTCCGGCGAATGGACAGAGTTTAATTACTGAATGCAAATGCAAATATACTTTAGGGACCTGCGTGGCCCGCGTCTTCGAACTGCAGACGCAATCTCGTACCTTCAGCTACCCTTGCGACTCGATCTTCGCTCTCGATCCCTATCCTGTGCATCGTGCCACGATACGGTCTGCCTCTATTAGCGACGAAACAACAGAAGCACCGGTTTGGAATAAAAGACTTAACCCTCTGCGTTCCCTATGTCGTTTGCGATTCGACGTTACGTTTCGTTTTCAGAGTCCAATCACATTTTGAAAATCATATTAACCATTTGACTCTGAGGCACCGCCAATATTTGTTATACCACCTTTTAGGATTATTTTGACATTAACAAAATTTACTTTTGAACAATTGTTAAGAGTGTAACTGTTACGCGAGCCCCAATAGTCAATTTTCATATATGCATAAAATGCATTTTCTCATATAAAATAGAAATATTGTAAGTTAGAAAAATTATTTTATATTTTCGGTTGAAATAGCTTCGAGTGCAAAGGGTTAACCCTTATAGTATTTTATTATTTATTTACTTATTTATTTATTTCTTTATCTTCAGCGTACCAAATGTCTTTTTAAATTTTCTACAAAAATTCAGCATAATAACGATAATAGTAGTAACGATAATAAAATAACAATAAAAATGTATGACAATGAGAATGAAAACAATACGATTACAATATACAAAACAAACCTAGAACATCCTAGTTTCTGATAATATTATAAAGTTGATATTTAAATCGATTAAAATCATAACTGCCTAACGTGAAACATGAACGACCGCTAATGGAAACGCATTATGTAAGCGCATTCGAAGTTTAATTGGTTTCTAAAAACACGAAAAGATTCGTAGGCGAGTTGGTTAAAATTTCATTTGCCAATGATAAATAAATTGCCTGGTTTGTCAGCAGTTTCCCGAAACAAGTTTGGAATTTCCGATGCACAACTGTAACGGAACCTGTTTCACTTAATTGGAGATCACAAAACTCCTTCGCCACGGCGACAATTATGCTTTATTGGTCACGCGACGCAGCAACGGCAACGAAACTTCGATAATACTCTCACGAACCAGATCGAGTTACGCGTCTGTCTGACTTCTTTTCAAGATTCATTTTTACTGTCAAGGTTATGTCGATTCGTTCAAATTGATTCTACTAAGATGTTTTAATTGTACGAACGTAAAATGAATCTTGAAAAGAAGTCAAAAATCAGTGTCACCCATATGTGACCGACTCGTCGTATTAATAACATAGACAGCGAATTTCTCTATAAAATTAAAATATCCTGAAGTAATTTCGCGAAATATTATAGGTAGAATTTTTACAGCCATTTTCATACGTTTCATTTATTTTTCATTATATTGTTTCTGTCACTGCTTCAGGGAGGGGTCTCAATCGAGACGCGTCACGCTCCATAATAGATATGCGCTCAAACTTCCTCATCTATATCCCCACATTTTACTCGTGTTACTTTTGATTTGCGTTAAATAAATATTTCAAAGTTCATTACGTTATCCAGAAATATCGATCTATCGAACAGTAATTCAACGAGAACGCTTTGTCAGTTTCTTCTTTATTCCGCCTGGAAACCGTTCCAAAATAGGTACTTTAACCGTGCCAGAATATTCTCATAGAGTTCTACTCTCGATTCGCGCAGAAAACCCGGTATTTATTTTATTCGGCAGATGGTCCACTTAAAAAAAAAATCCCCGAAACAACGTCAGCCACGTATACAACGATCGTCCCTATCTGGAGCTTACCGCGGCCATTCCGCGATTACAGTTTCAGCGGATACGGGCTTCCCGTATATATACAGGGTCTACCGATTTTTCTCGGTGCCGGACGAAAGAGTTAGTCACCGGGGACCAACAGACCAGATCCTTAGCAGAGGTAATAAAAATAGAAGTATCGCTTCCACCGGTGACTGCGGAGAGAAAGAAGGGCAAAAACCAAGGCCGGAGGGCCAGAGCCGCGGCCTACCAGATTACGCTGTAAAATGAGAAATGCATGAGGAAGGTTGGGGACTTACCGTCGTGGGAGTCGTAGAGGTAGATGATTTTCTTCCAGCCATAGTATCGCACCGTGTCGATGATGGCGCGATGATAATCCGGGCGCATGCTTATGGCGAAATCCAGGAGACCGGAGGACGGCGTCAGAACCTGGACATAACAGGACCGCTATGAGTGCACACATGCGCCTGCTTGCCCTCCCGTGCATGCACATGCGCGTACAACACACGTGTGCAGTGATCCGCAGAAATGCACACGTGCAACGGCCGTTCGAGTTTTAGATTTTATTCGGCCGCGCCGGCAATCCTCTGGCCCGAAATCTAGCGAAGGAAACGTTAAGCCGCGTCGTTCTCTTTCCCGGCGGAATCCGCGGTAGCGTTACCGTGGAAATGTAATCGTAAATATTTATGACAGCGGCGCGAATGACAGAACCATTCGAAAGCTTCCCGTGATACGCGCGATATCGAGCCGTTCTGTAAAGTTTTTCTCCCATCCGCGGCCCGCCTACCTTTATCGTTTCGGTCGCCGGCGCGAAATAGCGTCGCGATTTTAAGCGAATTACCGTTCCGTTCGCGGATCTATTCGGTGCGAGAAAAGTGTAGCCGTCGTTATTTCGAGGAAGCGCCGTGACGCGACCAATCGATCAGCCCATTCGATGCGGGCGACGGGAATTTTTAGCGAAATAGATTGTGACGGCAGCGAGCGCGGAATTAGGGGCGGAGTTGACGTCGTAGACTGCGGATTTTGACCCGAGCACGATTTTCGCTCGTTTAAGGAAACTTTTTCCTGGTTTCACGACGGTGGTTTTATTTCACTGTTTATTTAACCGACTATTGCGTGAATTTGTACGATAAGTTGAAAGAAATATATTCGGGCTGTTATCGCACTTAACACTAGATTGCCCAAGTAAGTCATTTTTTTGACTGCTTTTTAATTTCAATTAGAACAAAAATTATGTATATAATGATACAATTTCTTAGAATTTTGTGACTTTTTGTACAACATATAAATGCGTTTATTAATCATTGTAGTTATCTCCATCCCTCCTTCATTTCCGGTATATATAAGTATTATACCTATATCGCCCAAAAGCAGTCGTTTTGACTGCTTGGGAAATTTAAAATAATCAAATGACTCTTATTATTTGAATTGTGTAAATTTCTTATATGACCAGTTCGGAACTGAAATAACATTTTTCATTTTTCTTCGATTACCGTTACATGATAATAATATTTCGTTACCGATACCTGATGCAATATATACTTTAAGGACTCGTAAAATAATATAATTTTGCAAAAAATACAGTTTATTTTCTGTACCATTTATAATCACACAACCGAGGACAGCCTTGTTCGCTTACTTGAGTTTGTACATTCTGTACAGTTCCATTCGGAACACGTTGAAAACTAAACTCGATGTTAATTAAAATTGCAAGCCGTATCTTCACCTTTGTCTTCATTTCCAGCAATCTCTATTTTGAAATTTAAACATATTCGAAATATAATTAAATTAATACAGCTTCAATCATAATGCATGTCACGAATGCACTTTCATTTCCTTAATATGTAATTTCGTAATGAACGTTAATTTAAATAAGTATTCTCGTTAATGTAAATGAAATTTGCGCTTCTCTCAATTAAGTAAAATGACGTTATAATGTAACAACATAAGTACAATTTCATTGTCCTAATTAAACTTCTACATTATTTCGAATTGTAGAAAGATGCTTTGGATAAACACATTTTCAATCGATTAAAATCTAATATTTATTTCAAAATATGACATAAGTAATGCATTAAAGATTTTAGTATGTAATGATATTTATTTGCGTAATCAATTTGGAAAGTATATTTCTATATCATCGAACTAATCTTATATTTCAATTAATAATTATTATTTCAAATAATTTAATAATATCCTGAAATTATTTAACCCTCTCGAACGGCCGACCATTTTGCAGAGATGCGAAAGGCGAGTACCGGGTCATATGTGATCCTCACTATATTTTCTTAAGTAAGTTATCTTTTCCTATTTATTGTAACGATTCAAGAAAGATCTTTTATTATAATACTTTTGTACCGTACAAATACTCCACCGTCGAATAAAAATAACAGAAGAAACTTGTTTCGATCTCCAAATTATAGTACGTGCGTTCAAAATATACTTTGAATAGAATTCATGTAATACGGGTCATTAAATATTCTACAGGTACAGCGAAAACTTTTTGCCAACTATAGTCGGCGCTCGTATACACAGATCGTCGCGTGGATGCCAATTATAGTCAGCGCTCATAACGAAAGGGTTAATAAACTTCTAGGAAATAAAGAATTATCTAAGGGAGATATTACAGAATAAATCATCGTTTAATTCGAAAATTCATAAGCAATTCGGGAGCTGAAACAGAAAGTCAATCGCCTTAAACACGAAATCATCTTCTTCGAAACTAACAATTCCTTGGAACTTTGCAGAACCTTTGAAGAACCAAATGTCTTCTTAAAACTGATGAGAACGAAGATTGCCGAGAATACAAATTAATGGTAGGAAGCGTGTCCGGGACTTTAGCGTCTTATACAAGTGGCATTCCGCGGAAGAAAAACAGCGTCTCCCTCGACCGAGAGAAGATAGCATTGAGGTTTCACGGAAATTGTAGAAGATTTCTCGTTTGCAAAAGGCTATAGTTGACTGTCGGACGAGAAAAAAAAGAAAGAAAAATAAAAAATGGATAGGGAAACTTCGAATCAGCATTGCCGCGAAGATTAGCATTTGAACGACGCGGATGCTAGTTAAACGTTCGTCGTGTACCGGCGCGTACAGTACTTACGAGCTAGTACCGACATTGAAACAGAACACGCAGAAAAACGCGGGCTTACATCGCTCGAAATGTTGTACCACTACCTGGCCGGCATTCATCCGAAATGGACGTACGGTATCAGTTTCGCGAGCGGCACCCGCCGCGGCCCGATAAATGCGCGGCAACCGTTGCGATCCGACGCGACGAATAAATTTTCGACCGGTCGGATTCATTGCGAAATTCAAATTGTAATATGTTTGTACACACCCTATACATATTTATGTATTTATGGGATATCTGGGACGCGCCGGGGCGGCGATTCGGTTACTGCGAGAGGACGCGCGGCTACCGTCCGCGCTAATTATCAACACGGCCTCCGCGACGCTATCGATTTTGTTCGGATTTCACTGTGCACACGCTCTCGCCTGTGCGGAGATAACGAGGAAAATAAAAATGAAAGTAAAACTGGTTGGACCGGCGGGTTCTCGCGCGTCACGAGGATAAATTTTCAGGAATAAGCAGTTTTCCGGGATACGCGTACAGTCGGAAAGGTTACCGTTGCGCTACGATTTCTTCGGATTACGGGAATAGTGTATGAATATGCATGCCCAATTTGCTTTGAACTTGCCCGTATTCAGGGAATTTCCATTGCTATTTTATCTGCACATTGCCTGCATAATGTTAAATTATTGCTTCGCTCGCGGTCCGGGCGACCGAATAGGGTTTGGAAAGAATTTCCAGTCGGAGTTCACAAGTTTGTGAACACAGTGATTCGGCGTATCGACGGTAAAAATGATCGTTATAATTGATCTTATATTTTCGGATTAAACCTAAAACGACACCCTTCTGTTTTGTTTTTGGATTAGTAACATCGTGGAGTAGCGGACAACCTAAAATAAAGTCTCAATAATTAAAATATTAATTATCATCCTTTTTAATTACCATCCAATCATTTTTTACAGCAACTAGAAATTCTTATGATGAGCGTTAAATCGTAACACAATTAATTTCTGTTAATGTCGACATTTAATTGCATTTTAAAACCTTGCATATACCACAAATGCATAAAAATGCAGAGTCTTCTTATTATCGCCTTGGTGGCACGTGCACGGTCATTAAGAGAACGGTAAAAATAATAATCAAAGGACGACGAGTGAAAAACGGGACGTGTGGGGATCGGATTATAAATAAATTATGTTGTCCCTTTAACGGCATTACATGTTTTTATTTAGCTACGCGGGAAAGCGTCATATTTACCTTCTCGGGAAACCAGGGCGTCACGAAAGGCATCTGAAACGTGTTGCTGTACGAATGGAGGGTGTCGAACGAATCCGGACTCACAGCGCCCAGCATGGAAAACACCCCTCTACTGAATTGACTGCAGACTGTAACAGAAATATGGTAATGCAAAGCTTAAATACTGACCTTGGATACGATTGACCGTTTTTGGATAGGATATCCCCTATGACTAGGCTGAGAAGCTTTATGCAAATTCTCATTTCCATACGTCATTTTACTAACACTCGAATTAACGATAAGTTTTTACTTTAAAAAACTTGACATATAATACCTAACCTAACAGAATGAAATTGTTCCCCATATGGACACGAATTTCGATGTTACAAGAAATGTACAGTAGACAATTTATGAACTTATAATTTGTCGAATATTAATTGCTTCAAGAGAGATCTTCTTTTTTACTTTAACAAATGAAATATTTTGCACACGTCTCAAAATGTGCGAACGCGAGTAATTCCCATTTGAATTCAGAACTGTATACCTTTATTTATCAATGTTTGAAGAGCATGCAAGAACTATTCATAGTTAGAGAATTTCTGGCAATGCGCCCCAAAAAAATTTGCCCGCATTGCGACCATAAAATCAGCGGTTGCAGTTCCTCGAAACTAGGGAGAGTAAAAAGTTTATTTATCCGCATTAGTGTGAATTCTGATCGGACTCGAATAAATATAAAACACGAAGGAATGAAGAACTGACTGAAATAAAATTGATGTCGCCGTCAGCTTCTAAATATGTGTCAAAATAACCGTCTTGAAGTATGAAACCATTCAAGACGTGTAAGTAAAAATAATGATACGAGAACCTTATTAATCCGACGTTATATTCCAATAGTTGAATTTTCTGCAAAACAATATTCCGATTGTTCTGTTTAGTAGTTCCTATTAATTACCGCGGAATAATGATGCTTTGAATATTGGAGAGACGAATAAATAATAAGAATTTCAGAAAAATCATAAACAAAGCGTAGCTGGTCACGATGGTATTTTGCAGGTAATTTCATTCATTACCGTGGCACTAGCATGGCTCCTCATAACCGTGTAATATCCATTCAAAGGTGTCAAAGCATAGCCAGAAGTCCAATAACTCTGTTTTCCATTATGGTGTAACAGACAAAGAGACGGGAATTTCGTCAGGTGCGGCGTTATCAATACATTTCCACGAGGACACCGAACTCCTCATCCGTTATTAAGAACGGAAAATCGGCTTTATAACGCGCACAAAAGGTGAACCGTCATTTTGTCAGGATAATTTATTCGGTTTATTATGTTTAAATGCACCCCTTGCAATTTCGGGGCGATAACAAATGAAAAAGAACGGCTCGAGTTCATTGGACAATGCGTGTGCAGTCGAATTTTATGGTTGAAATGTTAGTAAAGAATTTAGTTGGCTGGTTAGTAATGTTGGAACGACAAGTTTTTATGAGTTTTCCAATTTGCAAGAGAAAAGCTCTATTTTCAGGCAAACAAACATTTCTTTCTATCGAAGTTTGTGTTTCTGCGCTTAGAGATTAGTCGTAAAATATATTTACATTTTTTTTAGAAAATGTTTCAATTTATTATAATCACTGTGGAAATTATAATTACTTTGTAATTATAATTTCTTTCGGCAATTTCTGAAGTAATTCATACCTAAAACATCTGACTACGAAATGAGAACGTAAATGTGCCTTTTGCAAATCTATGCAACCAAATTCTTGAGATACGCAACAATTTGGTTAGCCAGTACGCTCGTAGTCCCCTGAGAAAATAAGCTTAACCCCTTGACTTACTATTTCCTTCGCAGGGGAAAAGAAATTAATGTTTATATTGTGTGCCTACATTTATTCGAGTGCTTAAATATCGATGACAACATTGTCTTATGAACTGAACGCCATTTTACGATGTAATCCTTACAGAGAATGATGACCAGGAGTTATATGATTCTAATTAATCTATGGCAATTCTGTAACGCTTATATGCAATATAATAATTAACCGAACGAACAAAATTAAGTTCCATTTATTCTTGTACACGTTAAATAAGATTTATAAAAAAAAACGACTCAAAATATTCTAGGACTCTTATTCCGACACATTCATCAGATAGTGCCATTTTTGCGAAAAGTTGAGGTCTTCAGAGTTATTTAACAAAATATGTAGCCACAACCGGTCAACAGCTTTGTACGCGGACATTCGCTTATAGAAACATAAGACTTGATTATGCAATAAAGAATACACAAGTATCTTCTTTATGAAATCATATAATTTTTTTTATATAGATCGATGCATCTTTGTATTTTCTTCGACGAATTATTAAGTCATTTTTGCTGAAAATCGACTAGCCTAGATTTTTATTTAATTAGATTTTATTTATTTGTAGCTTGGATTAGCACCGTGCGGCGCGTCTACGCAGAATTAAACGTTCCATTCGGCAGAGCGTACGTTCCCTTTAAGTAAGCCGCACGTGGCAACCATGAAGAACAAGATGAAACCATCCAGAAGCGAAAACACCGGGCAAATTTGAGCCGTGAACCGGTTAAGTACAGCTCCTAAACGTTCCGATAATTCGGAACACTTGGCTGGCTCGGGCTGGCGCGTGATGTCGCCTAACGCGAGATCGATACACCTGCGCCAAATGGCCGATACCCCGGCTCGCGATAAAACCGATAGGAAAGTTTCGAGCGCGGAAACGCGAAAAGGAGAAGGCGCGGGCGGCGGCGGTGATATGATGTCGGCAGGGCGGCGATGGGTGTGCCGGTGAAGGCGGCGAGTGTGGCCGGCGATTCAAACGTTTGGAGCCGAGCCAACGCGTGTACGCGGACACCGTACGAAAAAGGGAAGGTCGAAGAAACTTATACAGCGAATTGATCGTGAAAGGGGGAGATGGATAATCGATTCGATCTTGTTAAAAAGTTTATTACGGCACGGCCGTGGGAGAATGTTCCGTCGAAACAAATTACAGGACGTGTCACGTGTGCTTAACTCGCGTTCGCCAGGTGTCGGGTCCATTCGGACCCGGAGTGTTTCGACGATGTAATATGAAAACTGCGGGTTATCCTTGTCTCCGTGCCAGCCATATATACTATGATCTCGTGGGAGCTTATCTAGGCGACCCTGCTGCTGGCGACTGTGTTAATCGAATAATTTAATTGAATTAAATCGTTCGATCCTAACGAAACAAATTCAAGGATTCCTTTACGCGTCGAGGAAAACTTTTCACGGAATTCCAAAGTACGTCCGAATCTCTCTGTTCTCGAACGCGGAGGAACAGGAATTTTATGAAATCCATTATCATCGTTAAGTCGCCACGGTCCGAGGAAATTAATATTCAATATGCGAACTTTTAAAGCCGTAGCTATATTGTATTAAAATTATACTCGCATTTTTGCAGCATTCATTATATATGAAACAGGATCAATTCATCGAAATTAATGGCGTTTTGCTGTACAAGTTAATTAATGAGTTATAATGAACTTATAATGAAGCTTATTTCATCGCGAGCACAGCTTCTTTTAAAATTCATCGAGATTTACGGTCATTTTATGAACAATTTGATTCGATATAACTTATCTTTCATCTACTGTAGCTATTAAACACATGAAAGTAAAAAAATGCTAGCCTAAATTAGTTATGCCGCCATAATGGATAGATCAAAGACGGTTTAATGCTTAATACAAATCGATAGTTTAATTATTATCTTAAATTACCGCAGTTATGGAAACTAGCTTGTATCTTTACGATGTGAATAATCGCAAATTGAAAAATTGGTGACCCGTAATTTTGACGGGTTCCGTAAATCTAGTGTTAATAAATTGTTGCTGTTATTGTTATTGTTATTAAGGTTGCGTGTATCGTTTCATTTTACCACGGAGCCCGGTAGGATTTCCTAAAATAGTCCATGCAATGGTAAACGAAGAAACAGGACATCGGGAGCCACCTTTTCTGTATTTCTGCATTCAAGGATTTCGAAGTTGTCCGTGGCGGAAGCGACTCGAACAGAAAACACATTTGTCTTCGGAACTTCAGCGTAGCAGAAAACTATGGGGGCAACAAAGAAAAGTAAACAGGAAAGTTCATTGACCACACTTTCCCAAGACGAAAATCCCCATTCGGCTCTCATTACCGCGTTCGAGAACTCGTTCCCGCGTCTGCATAATTCATGAGTCTGGAAGTGGGCCATCGTAGAAATCCCAAACATTCCAATAGCTCGTTCCCGCGATGTTAAACGAATTCCACGGGAGAACATGGACCGGAAAGACCGCGTCCCGCGGGAAGAAAGACGAGACCGAACGAAACAGAAATCAAACCGCAGCGCGGGACCGATTCGTAAGAATTCCGCGATACTCGTTCGCGAGCTGTAGATTTCTGTGTGTTCTTGTAAAATGTGTCGAAACTTGCGACGATTGGATTCGATCGACGGTTTGTATCGGTCGACAGTATTGATGATTAGTATTAATTTTAATCGACGGACAAAATGATGCATCTGAGACAATGCACCTGGAAAAACCGACTGTTATCGATGGTAGAAAACTATCAGTCAGACAAGGATTCGAGGTTTTCACATCACGGTATCGTACAGCTATTATTGCCGAGGCTTTTGGGTGTAACCCGTGTTCTGGTTGAATTATTTCTGCAATGTTCCGCAAGCATTGCAGTCAGCTTCAATAGGGGTCTAACCGAAAGTTACCCAGCATCTCGCTATCGGCACATTTACCCCGACTGCTATAAATAATGAATCAGCATATTCGTCGAAATGAATTTTTTAATAAAAGGTCAAAAATTATAAAGACATTGTTTAATTAGATTTGAATTATAATGATTTATATTATAATATACAGGGTGTCCCAGAAATGTCTCGCAATTCGGAAATGGCGGGTTCCTCGGATCATTTGAAGCAACTTCTTGCTGTACAAACATTTTCTCCGAGGCACCGTTAACGAGTTATTAACGAAAAACAGTGTCTAACAGCTAGTTCTATATGTAACGACAATTTTTATTTATTTTACTAATTATTGAAAGATTTTTGTTCTACTATCGTTATACAATATTAAATAACGAAGTATCGAACTACATGTCTATATATGCATTTTAGTCATTTCTTACAATTAT